ATCAGTTAACTTGATTTACAAGAACCTTCGAAATTTTGAAATTTGAACTTCTACGACTTACAGGCAATTATTTACTTACCACTGGCGATGTAATCCCTGTTACAATATCTTGAATTTATAAGATGAAGCTAATGAGAATGGTTGAGTTTCTTCATTATTAAATTGTATATTGCTCCTTTAAGAGCCTGAAATGTAGCCCGTAAACGTGTTACACGTCAAATTAAATTGAACATCAAATTTATCAAGGAATTTACAACTGGATAGTTAATCAACTTGGTATCCATTCGTTTCATAAAATTTTATTTATGCAGAATTAATTAATGTTTGTATATTTTGACAATGTTTCTGACTTGTTGACTGAAAAAGGAACAAATCAGTGTGTAATAAAATATAACTGTTTTAATAAATTCACTAATCCTTTCAATATGTATCTTTCAGTATTTTGTACATCATTTACGCTACATGTCATTTTTAACATACAACTGCTGTATTTTATATGACGTAGAACGCGATTGAATGCCGATATCATGAATTGAAGAAGTAACAGAAGAAGACAGAGATAAGCTGTATACAAGTAAATATTTAAACTAGTGAACAGACCTCGTGATCTTGTATTCTGAGGCGTTTTAAAATGAAAATATTTATACCTAATAGTAATTCGGGAATAAATATCATTGAAGATGTAAATGGGGTTGGTTCAGTTAGCTCAGGGTTAAGTTTAGCGAACACTTTAAATAACCTTAGTGTTTCGTGAAGCGGAGTTACTCTCAGCTTTTCACGGACGTCTCTACTGCACAGATTTGGTCATTTAATGAGAATAATTCATGAGGAACTTCCTTATCTAAGCCCTAATTACTGTAATTACATTGTAATTTTAGCCGGAAAACAAACGTAATATGTTTTAATAAAAATGAAACTATTCTGTTTCATGTATATTAAATTCGCCATCTTATAGCTTCTTATGTTACTAAATTTTATGTCTTTTAAATTGTTTTCTAGATGAGATGTATCAAAATACGAACTGACTTCCGGACGGGCATGCCCCCTCACTCATTGCGCTTTATTTTTAAGCAATTCGGTCAAATATCCCTTTATTGTAGATGAAACAATTTTGTGAAAAACAATATAAATTCTCAGCACGCTGCATTAAACCAGACTGATCAATAAGTTGGTCTTATACAAGTCATCACGCTGGTTGTGTGGCTCCTGAAGGGGAACTGAAAATCGCGTAACCGAGGGCATTCAGACGACTGTTCATAAAAACGTTTCGGAGAAAAAAATACTGTCTTCGTCTTCAGTTTTGAATAGCTAGACTTTGTACTATGAGTCCACACGGCGTCATATCCCATAATATATATCATTAATATATAATTGAATTTGAGATTCTCACGGCAGGTTGTAGCGTAGTGTAACACATCTTTCCTCATATGTTTGTTCATAATTTCTTCACATATGTCATTATACACACTATCATGCGGTGACATCACATTTTTATTGTTATCAATAAATATACATGTCACTTTCATGTTATGTCAAAAATACATGGAGCAAATTTCTTTACATGCATATACGTTTTTGTAGCACACATACATTATATGTTTTGATATTGTAATTTATTCTTTATCTTTATATAATGTTTTTTATAATATCTGTACCATTCGGATAATCCCTAAAAACATGTAATGAATTCGTGGCATCACGAACTGATCTTCGAAATGTAGAGATTTGAAATTTGTGTTAACAATTATTTTTCATTGCTTCACGGAACTAATTATAGTTATACATGATTGTAGACAACATGCCTTTCGGCGAAATGATTGCTATTAGTTTGCTAGTGAAAACACACTGTACTTTACTGTATTAAAATCCAACAGGCCGATTCAGTGGAGGATAACGTGCTTCAGTGCAGATTTGAATACCATTAAAGAATAACATTACTTGTTATAATAAGCAGATGTGCTGTTTTAAATTTATTGTTTTATGTTAATTATTTCCACGAAATGGGAGAGAGTTTTGTACAAGTTTAATTTTGACCTAAACGAAGAAAAGAACCTATGGTTTACATTGTGATTCTGTTATCGCCATGAAGTAAGGAAAATTAAGCTAATTTTCTGTTCCTCTTCTCGCTAGCTGCAACTAGTTTTTCCAATTTTTCGTCGTACGTCCACAATATTTTCTCCCCAACGTTTTTAATCTACTTTGGTTTTCCATGAAATTGTGTTCTGGCTTTGTTGTAGCCAGTTCCTCTTACAATCGTCAAAGTTGCAAATTATAAGATATATTATTTTTAAGTCTTTATCCTGGAGAATCAGTGTTGAAAATTCACTAGTCCTCAATAACAATTTATCATTTACAAATTTAAATAGGAAAAAAATATGCAAATAATATACTACAGTGTCTAGTCTTAAGTTACCACTTCTTTAATATACGGTGTATAACAGCCATGTGAATTGGTAAAACCAATAATGATGATAAAAATTCTACCGAAGAAATAGCGGTTTACTGATTACAAATAATGATTTATATTTGGAAGATCCCAAAAGCAATTATAGATCAGGTTATTAACTGACTTGACCGGAATTTTTGCAGCTGTCGTCGTTCCATGTGTCATAAAATAGGCCGCGACCACTTTGTTCCAAAATGGGAACATTTTATTTATAATATCATATTAAATATTACGTTTAATGTACAGCAGAACCAACGTTGATGCATGAGTTATATAAAACACTTTATTGTGTATATGGAAGAAACATAGAAAACAGGGATTAAACTGTGGTTCGTCTGAGAATAACTTGAATTTGTAAATTAACTCAATTCAGAGTGAACTGAACTGAATTGAATTGAAGAACACAGTAATGTAACAGTTAAATTCTAGTAGGATCATTCAGTTACTTGTGTGATGATAATGGAAGTAAAATATGCTTATGAGCGAAGCCTTACAATAAGAATAAGATTAATGGACGAATTCACGCTTCAACCGCCTTTATTCAGAATGGCTCCATCTTAGACGTCATTCAAGTAGTATGAGGTGACCACATAGCTAAAAACAATAGATCCAACATTCACCACAGACTACGGTTACAAAGATACAATTTCCTTGACTTTTTCTACGCATAGTTTATTTTACAACATATAAAGCTTTTCCATTGTTCAAAAGCTAAAAAGCAGTTATCAGTTGTTTAGTAGCTTGTCTTTTCATTAAAATTAAACTGCATCCATACAGCAGGGAACTTCTTGAGAAGCGTATAGTGTTTCAGCTAGCAGAGAAATTCCTCGCCATTAACAGAGTTCCATGTTTTTTTTTTAACTGACAGGTTCAGACATACTCTTACCCACTTAACAATTGTTATCGAACTGCGTTTCAGTCACACGTGGCCATTTTAAATTTTTATGTGTCCACGTGGTTATTGCACACGTACTAAGGACGGAGATTTCCTTTCATTATTGGTTTTGTCCAAGAATTATGGAATCCAGTCCGAAGCGTGCTAGTATACTCTTGAAATATCTCCTAAATGGTCTCCTCCGTTTAGGTTTTTTGACTAAAATTTTGAATATAATTCTAATCTCCTTATGTTTGATACATGTGACAACAATCTCATTGTCCTTACTTGAACCTCTGAAGTGTAAATTGCAAAATTTCCCATCATGAAGTTTACTTCATTGTCTTATTACTCTCTTTTTGTAAGGTCTAGATATTCTGGTTGATACGTCATTGTCTCAAAACATCCGCAAACTGCGTACTTCCAAACTTTTTACGCATTTCATTCTTAAAATACTGATTGTTTTTAGAACAGATGTTGACAGTCTCTAAATAAATGCTTAGTTTAACATTTAAATGGTCATCTGTTGTAACAAAGCTTACTGAAAGGAATTCTTTTTGTTACAGATGAAAGCCAATCAAGGGGCAGCAGCAAATTCTCCGTGAGCCTGGATGGTGATGACGTTGCCGCCAGAACAGCAATCATTCGTCCACTCACCGTCCCAAACTCTTGTCCTTCCTCCCTGGTTATGTTATCACCCACTGTCAGTTCTATCTACCTTCATCCTGACTTTGCTTCTCATCCTGAGTGTTGCATCTGCACCCGCCCTTACAGAGTCAGGGGACATCTTCCACAGAAAGATGGCTCTTACTTACCCCTACTCGTTTGTCAGGACGTCAGACATACCACCGTCAGAGTCGACGTCTAAACTGCAGCTAAAAAACATCAAACAATCTCAAAGGAAAACCTTGTTTTCTAAATCCAGTCCCACTGTACATTCGCTATCACCCCATTCTACGAACAGTGAAAAAATATTGATTATTAAAGATTACAGAAGCCATACAGAAGCTAATAATATGGCTACAGAATTAACCCCAGTTACAGATCATTCTTTTCGTAAAAGATTATTATTATCATCAGATACTTCAGACGTCTTGGAAGGGACAAAATATGTCACACCTCAGTCTGGATTTATAAAAAATGTA